ATGTAGCAACCAGCAGTTTGTAAAATGTTGTTATGAAGACTCAAATGTCAAATTTTCAATGTTGTTTCTAACTGAAGAAAGAAAAAGGAAACTGTATGTGACAGAATTCCCCTATCTTTGTGATTCACTAGTATAGTCTATGGATAAACCTTGCTAACCAAGGTAACTGGGACTTATTGATAGCTTAGGACTCCACCCTCCCATCCCAATATGTTAATAGTTAATGGTAGCCAAAAAGCTAAAGCTGAGGCTTCAAATGAACTTTACAAAATAAAGGGTGACATCAAAGTGGGTTTGGGGTCTGGGACTCGGTTATTGGTTGTCACAGAGATTAAAAAAAAGGAGAAAGCTTGGTGCCTTGTAAAACAACATCTTAACATCTTTATTTTGTTATTCATAAGAAGAAGCGAAGAACTGAGGCAATATTTTGCTCATGTAAATGCTGATCATCTTTAATGACTGAATGTCCTACAGGACAAAGGATTTTCAGTTTTGTTCTGGTTGTAGACGGTTTTGCTTTGGTGTATAGTTAACTGAACTCAATATAAACAGCAACTTGATAGAAGGCCAGGATGTCCAGGAGAGAGATGCTTGATTCAGAGATTCAAGATATGTTTCAGTGTGTGTGTGTGTCCAGTCTGTGAAACCTCTATTCTCAGAGCCTCAGTGGCCATGCCTGGGGAGAGTGATGATAAATGACTGCTTTCCTGTAATTTACCTTCAGGAGAATGGATGGAGCTGGCCTGTTTGGTTAGTGGGTGGGGAGATGAGGAAGAGAGGACACTGTAGGTGAAAAAAAAAGAGAAAGAGAGTAAGGAGATTCCTGCTTTGAGCCTTTCTCTGGAGTTGGGTTTCCTCCAAGGTGAGGAACGCATTAAATTGTGTGTATATACTGTGTGTGTGCGCCTCATTGTTTATTTACAGAGCTTTAGCTCTTGCAGCGTTCATAGAGGAGGGGAGCCGCTCTACCCAATATTCTCTTCTTCAAACCCCCATCTAGCCCCCGTGAGTGGAAACATACCAGAGCAGTGCCAACTGTGTTTGAGCAATGGAGAAAACACACATGATCAATTTTATATAATTTCTGCAGCTAAGGCTAATAGCCGCTATTAAAGAGACAGATGATCAACACAACGCACAGTTCATTACCTAATAATTTATTTTTTACCATTTAGATTAAAAAGTCAGTGGTTCATTGCCTCAGAGGAAAATGTACAAGGAAGACTTCGATATAACAGAAGTGAAAAGCAGTGCTAGACTGAGGGCAGGATCCCTTTGTTCCCCCCAAAAAGGTAGGTGGACAATTTTTGTGTGAGTGAACCATTATTCCCAGGACATTAATGTAACAGGACATGGTGGGCTTTGTGTGTCAGTTTCCATCTGTACCTCTATGGGAAAAGCAGAGGGTCCAGTCAGTCACGTTTTTACTCCATTCACCTCAAAGTCATTTACAATTGGGTGGTTGTTGTCTGGAAACAACATAAAACCGAAAGGAATACATTCTGTGTAATATCTGAACCACGTCTTCTGGTCGTGATCACGAAAGCATATGTTCCTGGTTTCTACATCCATATAACATCCATAATCATCTGGTTTGTACATCCATAAATGTGAGTCATCCCAGGCTAAGTGATGCTTTACAAAAGACAACATAAACGGCAGAGGCAGTTCAGTACATATTTACAATATTAAAAAAAAAAAAAATGCATCAGGACAAGCCAAATGTGTGGATGAAAATGACGCATGTGCACAAAGAAAAAAAAAAATAGTCAAAAAACAAACAATGGGAAGTTGACCAAGAAAATTTGTGTGATTTAATTCTTCATCATGGACCGTTTCAGAACCCTACCCCCACCCAAAAACGCTAAACTTCAAATAAGTTTCCTCTCACCTCTCTGCAAGTTGTGTGTGTCACTTGTTTGCTCGGGAAGGTTAATTAAACACACAAACTCACACACCTGTGAATGCTATAAACGCTGTGGAAAAAAATACACAGGGGGGAGGAAGCAAAGTGAAGCAGTTATGGTCTCAGTTCCACTGCCAAGCTGCTGGGCTTGTTAATATAAAACAACAGGATGGCTCTCTCTATGAGGCTCACAAAATAGCTTTCACAAGCGCTACACTTCCACCCCCTAACCCCCCACTCGAACAAAATCTGGCCAATTTTAACCTATTTTGATTTCGATGTTCAGGGTGGGCACTTAAGAAAAGGAAAAGCTGGTTCGTAGTTTTCGATCATGTGACCTGTGCAGAGGCCTGCAGGGAAAACTGTATTTTTTTTTCCAGCTTACATACCAGACCCTCCACAGAACTGCAGGAGAACCGTGTAAATATTTCATCTTTTACAATCCATGAATGTTTAGATCACCCTTTTAAAGGATTCACACAAAGATGTGATCCCGCTCCATTCTGGTGATGTTTTACTTGAACTCTACATGGATAAAAAATTTTGGACCACACCTTTTTATGAATTCAAGTGTTTTCAAACCCATTGCCACAGGTGTATAAAATGAAGCACCTAGCAACGCAGTCTGCGTTTACAAGCATTTGTGAAAGATCAGTTCTAAAGAGCTCATTGAAATCCATCACATTTGTAATTTTTTCCCCTCTTCCAGATATTCTACGATAAGCTATCGGTGGTATTATCGCAAACATGGGTGTGTTTAGAAATAGTGACAAAGTGGAAGGCCATGTGAGGTTACAGAGCAACCGCTAAGGTGCACCTGTGACTCAGTAACTGCAGATTTGCAAACCTTGTTTGCTGTGTGCCAGGAGCTTCACGACATGGATTTTGGTACCTGAGCAGCTCTTGTAGGTGTGAGGTAAACTACTTTTGTCCATATAGTGCATTTAGTGGAGATTCCTTCACTTTACACTGCAGTGCAAAAGCACAAACATGCTTAATCTTGATTTGATTTGCTCTTTTAGATTTGAAGGTAAAAAAGCTCTCAACTATTAAAACAAAGGCAAGGGCGCTTTAGCTAAAACTAGCTAGCTAACACATGGTGATCCATCAGCTGCTGGCTTCAGATGTTTTATGGCAGAAGTGACACACCAGTAACATTTTGTTTAACATCATTATAGTGAAACTTATTTCCTATTGCTATTGACAAGATCAGTTGCTGTGGTGGATTGGTGTGATCTGTCCGCAGTAGCTGCATGACAGGATGCCTCAGTATACCTTTCACGCTGGTCTGTTTGTTCGCCACAGGCAACGTCATCATCATAGTCCTAAACATTTATGGTGCAGGAAGCTGCTACAGTACTCCTCGGAACAATAGGTGTCGCTACTCTGAAAAAAAACCCTCTGCATCGGCACTGATATAAGGGAAATCGCCTCCATCTATACTTTTTTCTCCACCAAGTCATCTTACAACATGTCCGTCTGATCTGTGACCATGTGAGCAGTAAAACCTGACATGATTGTACACTTTTATCTGCTTGGCTGGTACAACGGGGCCCTTAGGCTAAATGTGTTCCCATGCAGTGCCACACTCTAAAGATTTGCAGGCAGGATAGTTATACATGTGTATAGTTTAAGAACTATCCAGCATTTTGGGTAAACTGAACTGGCAAAAATGATCAACAGGCATCGGAAAAAGCCTCTTTTGGAAGCGTTCCTATAGTGTGACATATCACGTGAAAACTAGAAGAGAAAGAATTTTGTGGAATTCCTTCACGAGGGTGTTGGGTGCTCAAGGAGCTGAGGCAAATATTTTGACAATTCATTGTAATGCCAGACTTACATACCAAGATGCGGACACGGGTGCTACTGTAACACCACCTGTCTGACAGGTCACAGAGGACAGCCGACACATAAATAAAGGACTGCTTCTGCATTTTTGAGAAATTCCATCAGTGGGATTTGTGCCCTCAGCATAGTGCCATAGAAAACCTTTTTTTTGTCACACATCAGAAGTCGTGGTGGCTTATAATTCATTTTGGTTACAACTTGTTTTTGCATTGTATTATAAAAAACAAAAACAAAAAATGTCTTGATGAGAGTGAAAAGCATGAAGAGCCACAATCGTTTGAACAACATCTAGTCATGTTCAGAGTTCATAACAGCATCAAATATCATGCCATTAGACGTCCTCAGTTCTAATAACACTTCATAAACACAATCAGACCATTTACCTGTGTGTCTTTTCTTTGCAGATTGATTTACATTCTCAGAAAACAAGAACTACAGTGCAGTACTATACACCACAGAGGAGTCTGGAAGCCTCTTTCTGTGCTTTCACTTATCTAAAACACTAAATACACAACATGCAAAATGGGTTAAAAGGAGAATTCGGGGGGGGGGGGGGGGGGGGGAGGGGTGGAGGGAGGGAGTTTGTGGCTGACACACAGACGAGAGCAGAGGAGAGACACTTTTGGAGGAATGACAAACCAAACATGCCGCCAAAGCCAAAGGAGCGTAACCACAAGCTAGCATGAGATGCCTGTAGGAACACTCAATGCTATGTGAGCTTGATGTGCCCCTCAACTAAACTGTGTGTTTATATTGTACTCTATTTAAATAAATTGTAAAGTCGTTTACAAAATGAAATAACTGCAAAAGGCAGATAAAAAGCTTGAGAGCAACCAGATGGGTCTCTCTGCGGTTAATTCGTTGGTCCTGACTTTCATAGTCTCTTAATTGAATTTAAAAACTGACTACTCTTATTTGGCAAGGCATGACAGGGTTATGCATTTGGGGTGGGCAAGTGGTGGAAGATGACCTGGGAAGTTTTCCTTTGGATCTTCATGCTCATATTAGTTTACCTCTCTCTGCTCCCTGTAAGGATTTGATGGACCAGCAAAAGAAAAAAGAAAAAAACCCCACAAACATGCAAACTTAACAAAGCACATGAGGACTGAAATATGATCCTCTCATGTCATAATACAATCAGTGAGCACTAAAAATGTTCCAGGCTCATTCATTTTGTCGAAATACTAAGCAAGGAATGAAAAACAAAAACGAAAAAACCCAACAACACAGCTACGTCTTTTCTTTATCCAACTTGTTTTTGTGTTTTTACTGCATGAAAAAGGAACTCTTGTTTCAATCTCTTGTTGTAGCAAACAAAAGCCTGCCAGTCTTCATCAGTCAACGCAATGAAATGTTCGGCCATTTTTAAAGACATAAGTGACGCTGGCCACACAGCAACGTCTGGAAGAGCTGTACCCAGCAAAGAGAATATCCATGAAGCGCAAAAGTCTCAATGGAAAAGTTGGTTTTGTTCTGAAATTCGGTCTGCGCCGCTTCATCTTCCACAAAGTGACAGGCCGTGAGTCATGATGGTGACTTTATAAACCACTCATAAGAGGGAACAGTGGTGAAGAGGCCTGCGATGTGACTCACTCGTATCCCTTTGTTGCATTGGGCACATCTCAAATAAGGATGTGGATGGCTGAGATAGCAAAGTAGCCACACAAGATATACAAACTCTAGTATGAGCAGTGACATCGGGCACTTGACCGTATAAGAGCCTACGTGAGCAGTTTATTCTGTGAGGGCTGTGTGGTGGTGGTGGTGGCAGCAGCAGTGGTGGTGTGACTGAGGTTTGCTGTGGAAAATGTCCCTGCAAAGGGAGCCCTTGGTTCCTCGTAGGACATAGAAGTCCTATAGTCCAAAGAAGATACTGCAAAGACCTTGAGAAATTAGGCCTGTTTTGACAGGAAAATTCTGAAGGTCATCAGTGTGAGGTGGCCAAGCTGGAGATCTGTAGCTTGTTTTGTTGCTGATATCAGTCTGTGAAGTGATAAACACTCTATAATAAAATCCTCAGAGAACAGTGAGGGGTGAGCATTGGTAGTCTTGCATGGAAATACCTTAAAATGGCAGAAGACAGGCAGTTTTGACAGGTGGAGGTCAGGGGGTTGTATTTTTTAGCAGGGGGTTGGACAGTTCAGTTGCCGTCGTCGAGGGGGGGAAATGGCGCCTGCTTTTGTCTACACTTCACACCCTTTTTAATGGTCCCTTTTTAAGGCAAACCAATCGGACAAATAGACAAGTGGCCTTACAATGAAAAAAACTTGAAAAATAAAAATGAAAATAATTATACAATATACACAAAATGTGGTCCTTAAAACAGGCAGGGTACATGCAGTCTTTGTAATGTGCAGCGTTCCCACAATGGAGGAGAAGAAAGGACTCGAGTGGCCGGGGATAAGAGAAGTCAAGAGTCAGGATTTGTGATTGAGTGCTGTGGAGGGAGAGGTAGGGATGGACGCTGCTTTTCCCAATCATGCTTTGCTGCACTTCCCCTTCTTCTCCTTGCGCTGGAACTTCCTCAGACGTCTCGTCCAAACGTCTCTCCACTGGATCACCAGGCTGTTCTTATCGGCCACCAAGCCTATGCGCTCCGCCCCTGGACTGCTGGCTCCACCTCCGGGCCCGACTCCTGGACCTGCTCCTGGGCCCGTTCCACCTTCAGCGCCACCCATCACCAAAAATCGTTTGCTCATCTGGATTTTGGGACACTTGCAGGCAAGGTCCTTCATGTGTACCCACAAGATGTTGTCACCTCTCTTTAAGGGTTCGCCCCGGCTCTTGTACACAGCCACCACGCTAACGGAGAACTTGGCCCAGTCACCCACCGTCTCCATGTCCAGCACGTTCACTTGGACAGCTGGGAACACATTTGCAAGAAACACACTCAAAACTCTTTACGCTTTTTAATTAATGGTATGGAAAGGAATTCTGCTCTCTTACCATAATCCTTCTTGCAGTATTTCTTCATGTTGATCTTCAAGTTGCCTTTCACTGGTTTACAGTAGGACTCACAATCTGCAAAAATAAGGACAACCAAGTTCACACCTGAAATGCAGGCAGTGACTCCAGTGCTTGTTTTCCACCAACATGTGGCTGGGGCCAGTTCTCTCTTGGTGCACTGAAAACCATCCTTCATTTTGACAGATTTGGGAACCAAATGTTGCATAGTGTTACTAACAGAAGTCGGTGTGATTTCCTTGGGAAGAATATCATGGTCAACAGAATCTGCAGACTCCAAATGCCAGTCACTTGTGAACCCTCCCTTTGGGACAGATTTTTGACACAAGTCATCAGTCTTCTTTTTTGTGGTGGAAATGTGTTTAAGCATTTATAGGCTAGGCACAGTCACAGTATTGGTGAAAAAGGTACCAAAGGAGCACATGAATCTTTCATATTTGCTCAGTCTTACTAACACGTTCTAATGCATAATTAGTGTCACATCACTTTAAAATATAAAACGCAGTGATCAAGCAAATATAAACATAACATTGTGATATGTGCTGATTTCTATATAGAAAGGCCAACTTTGACTCCCCGTCCCATTAATATATTTCACATTTTTTTATAAACACAAAAAATACACATCAAAGCATGATCTACTTTTTAAATACATGTGTATTTTTTTCTATAATAACTGAGTAAACTTATACTTGCCTTTACAAACTGACTGATGTTGCCAAAGGCTGAAAGGAAAACTGGAGCAGCGCTAAATAATAGTTGGGCTTGGTGTGGTTTTTGTGTGCTAAAAAACAGCTTCTGACAAATCACACATCCAAATCCCTGCAACAGCCAGTGCTGGGAGGCAAGTGAAACATACCAGAGGAGTAAAAGTGTTCAGTTTGACATGTTCTCCGGGGCCTTGAGAAAAGGCAGAGCGTGGTGGAAGCAGGTCATGGTTGGATGAATGTGGATAGGCCTTGGCTGCCAGAGTGACAACTAAGACCACACACTGGACCAATGACCTCTGCTGACCATTAGTAGGTGGGGTTGCAAATGATGTGGTTTTTACGTTTATGAATATGACAGTCAAAATTGATTTCTAGGCTGGATGACCATTCTCTGATCTTTTTCTGACCGACTTTAAGGCCAGTCACGGTTTGGTTTAGCTGTTCTGTGTCCTCCAGCATCTTTTTCAATCCAGCTTTTCCCTCATGCAGATTTTGGCCAAAGAGCAGGCATGTGGCGCTGGAAACACTTTGGTGCTTGATTTCAGCATTTGGAACCTGAGCAGCCACCTTTCCTTCTATTATATGACTCACAGCTTACCTGCAACCTGAATTAAATTAAAAAAACAAAAAAAAAACAAATTTTTTATATATATATATATATATATATATATATATATATATATATATATATATATATATATATATATATATATATATATATAAGTTGTTTGTAATTTTATGTTGAGGAATAGCTGTGTACAGCAGTTTCAATGGACCAGAAAGGTCGGAAAGAAACTCTCAGTTGTGTTATAGAACCCTTCAAAGATTTGAAAGCATATGCATGTAATTACATCGCATGGTTTATTTTCTTGTAGTCCTGAAATATTTGTTTTGCCATGTCTGTATTCTCGGAGATCGGAAAACATGTTTTGCAAGAACAAAGAGCAAAAGGGAAACTGAGAAGATAAGCATGATTAAATAGGCTTAAACAGATGAAGTGCGCTAAAACAATGATAAGAATCCCTTTTAAACTTTAAAGCATTCACTGTGCTTTTAACTCAATTTCTGCCACTGGAGCTGCAGAAAGAAAAATGCTGTTGTTTGTTAGTAAGACTCATCTGTGGTTGACACAGGCTGCTGGATTCTGTGACTCATTGAATTTTGGATCCACAGCATAAAAATAAAAATCTATGAGAAGGATACAAAATAAGTTTTAAAAAAATGAAAATGGTGAACTGAAATTGCAAAAGAAACAGAGTTTTAGTCACTTCTAATGAAGGGACGTGAAAAGTTGACCACCAACAAACCACACGCTGGTAAGTGGACTGGTATCTCTCGTTCCCTTCAAGAGGAATAACCATTTAGCCGTTTTTGCTTTCCAAAGAAAACCAAATAAAAATCGCTGGACATGAAATGTCCAAGTTTAAAAACAAAAAAAAGAGAAAAATGACCCTTTTGGGAATGTTGTATGAGTGAAAGGGTGTTGTATTGTTCATTTTTTTTTGTGGAAGAACTGAGGAGGAGGAAGAAATGGGGGCCAGAGGAGCTCATTAAAACGTCCAGAAAGGTTGGCTGTATATCAGAGTGCTGGAGATTTTATTAGCCAGAGAGAGGAAAGAAAGGGAAACACAAAAGGAGAAAGAAGATGACTTTCAATACGCTGCAATGAGTGAAGGTGTGGATGAGTGCAAAGGTGTGTGGTGCATGCGTGTACGTTTTACTTTAAATAAATGTTGCAGAATATCACAGTCTACTTAAGGGCTTTCTCATTAGTACAGAGTATGTGGTATTCATGTAAGTATGCATGCAGCTGTGACAGGCGTGCATGTGCATGAGATGAGCATGGATTTCATTAGATCACAGCTGTTTTGTGTATGTAGGTCTCTGTTTTTGTATACAGTGGCTAACCTGCTCTTGAAACTCTGGCTGGGGCGACAGTATGCTCTTTCCCATGAAGCACTACTTACTGCTGGGTGATCACCTGGAAAAGCTCTCGGTGAATTGCCCAATGACCCAGAAGGCCAGCCTGCTGAAAACATGCACAATTGGCTCCAAGACTCTCGATGCCCTCTTTCCCTTGAGCCCCTTTCACTGTGCCATGACAAGGACAAATTGCATCCAACGCCCCTTACACAAAAAGATTTTGGGGGCCTTAGGTTTCTGATGGTGAAGCTCTTTCTGTGGTAGTTTAGGAAGGAGAAAGATGGGGGAAATGCGCTGGTGTGTTTGGTAGAAGCTGAGGTGAATTGACAATCAATGACTCTTGTGTTCTTAGACCCTGTAACATTTTCCCAGGAAAGTAGTAAACAAGAAAGGGCTGGACTCTGCTTCTTTGGGTTAAAAAGACCCAAGTGATGGCGGTAAAAGGTTATACAGAACAAGTTGTAAATGAGTGAAGAAGCTGCGAGTCTAAGGAAAATTAAATTCAGGACTTACAGTCACAGTAAAAAGAAAGTACACCCTCTGTCAGTTCCAATGTTTCCAAAGGAATTTTTTCCAGATGCAATTTTGCAAACTTGAGTTGTGCTGCCATGTTCGAAAGAGAAGAAGTTTCCTCCTGGAGACACTTCCAAACAATCCATACTTGTCCAGTCTTTTTCTAATCGTATTATCACGAACTTAACATTGACCATGCTGAGGCATGTGCAGTCTGAGGTGTAGCCTTTCTGTTTTGAAGTTTCTCTGAACATTGTACGGTCTTGACTTTGGGGTGAATTTGCTGGGACATCCACTCCTGCGAACGGTTTTGAATGTTTTTCACCAGTGGAATAATCTTTCTCACTCTACAATGATGGATTTCAAATTACTAGTTCCAACTTCGCAGATTGGTGAGCAGCATCAGTTGCTTCTCTGAGATGATTTCTGATGCATTTCTTCTTTAATGTTGTGCTAATACACAATTGAATACTCCAGACCTGCAAACTGTCCGAACTTCAGCTTTTATAGAGATGCTCACACTGAGGGTGTACTTTCACACACAATTCTGCGTTAGCATTTTTAAAAATAATAACACAGTATAATCATGTGTTGTTCTTCTGAGGTTGTATTTACATAATTTTAAGACCTGATTTTATGTTTACTTTAACTACACTCACTTGTAAACATAGTCATGGTAAAAAAAAATGAGATGAAAGATCTTTGGCTAGAATTCACCTCACCTAATTGAAATCATTTAGGTAAAGTTTGATCCCAATTGGATTTATTTTATGCAATTATCTGCTCTAAATCTCAATAATTAACCTACCACGATTAATCTGTTGTAATACACCATTTCTTTCCCCCATTTTTTGTCCAGGATTTTTGCTAAGCTAACCAGTAACCGGTAAGCTTAGCTTAGCTAGTTTACAACATTTACCTTAGAAACTTCACGAATTCTCCACCAGAAGAATGTTTTTCATTTCACACTATTAGACATATCTGGAGGTTTTTATTTGGAGTGTACAACCAATTTTGGCCTTTTATGTGGACCTCGGTAAGAGCCATTATAAACATCTTGAACTCTATGAATCGAGTCCTCAAAATTTATAGCATGCAACCTCGAAAGTTAAGTCGAAAGTTAAAGTTGGAAAATTTATTGTGAGGGTTCTGAAAATACGTATTATTTTTAGAAGAGAAAGGACATAAAAACAAGAAAACCATTATTGCTTTAAAAAGAATGGCAGTAATAGCAAATTTGGGAGGGGTGCACAGTCTGCCGCTTCAGTGATAATATATGATATAAATCCACTAATGAATCAACGTTTCCAAATCAACACCACCATTTAAATCAAACAGTTGTAGAATGAAAAATGCGGACAGGGTAATTGACCGAAGCCTAGAGTGTTAGAGGGAGTGACTGAACAAATTTCCCCCAGTTACTTGCCAACACTCTTTTCATGCCTCGCAACGTTCCCCTTCCACTATATCTCCCAACTAAACTGTAATTAATCACCTCAGCTGCCTATCTTCTGCCCTTGGCTTAAAGCTGCACTTAAAGTCTGAGCACAGCGTGTCTCCACTAACTTGAGGCTAGCAGTTGGGGAAACTATGCCAAGGACACAGGTTTTTAAGACAATGTAAAATTTTTCCGTCCCCAGTGCAATCGTTTCCCTGAGAACTTCAAATGAGCAAACCCGCCCTCTATTAATATTTATTCCACGCCTTAATATTTAATATTTCTGGACACGTATTTTATGTTTTTGTTCCTCTCATAAAGTAGGGGTGCTCAAGGTGCAAGGAGTATATACTAACCTGCTGGTTCCTCTGTGCTGCTCACGACAGCTGTGGGGTTGACCACAGGGATTTCTGAAACACGCACAAGAAACACAAAGTTATTTCAACGATTAATTCTAAGTCCACACCTTTTAAGTATGTCTGAAATGATCTGGCTGCCGGCCTACAATGAGAGCACGTGTGGTCAAAGAAACAAAGTGTGTCCAAATTCATTAAATGTGATCCCAAATATGGGGGTGGGATGGGAAATAGTACTGAGAAGAAGTAAAAAGTGCTATTTGAGGTCACTGGGGAAAAAAAGAAGAAGAATCAGGGTTGCCACACAGTAGGTTTGTGGTGTACTATATGTCAAACTTATGAAAATACACAGGGCTTTCCAGACAGACGTGCTAGATAAACGCTAAGAGACTGACAGGAATACTTATTGGTGGTGAGAGGGAAGACCGGTTCAAATAAACCATACATGCCATAGACTAATGCAGTGGTTTCAGTGTCTTTTTTTAAGGAGATCTTCAGACTAACTGGAAGAAATAATCAAAGTCCAATGTTAGTTGATGCTTCACAAGAATCACACCATAAACCAGTTTGGAGGAGTCAGCGCATTGAAAGTAGGCACACAATGGCAAGGTGGCTACACTAGATTAGTTTCATCCTCCTCTAACAGATGTGGGGTTAACACTGCTGTGCAATCTCCATGCAAGCATGTATAGACAGATGGACGGATGGCAAAGGGGCAATTTTGGTGGGATCATCTTGAGACAGATACAGCCCTCCCTTGTTGTGCCCGCTGGCTACAAAAAAAAAAAAAAGTGCCTTGTAGAATTCCTCCAGGACTACTCCTTTAATCGTATGCATCTTTCCAATACAAATGCTAATGCTAACAACAGGCCCCTCTCCTTTTACCGTAAACAGAATTACTGGAACGCCGGCTTAGCATCCACCCAGAGGATCTGCTTTTGATTGGATTTGGAGGTTCAGGGGTTGGACCGAGTGTGTGAGAGTGTGTTGGCAGGAGGCAGAGGGGGGTTTCTTGGAAAGCTGTTTTGAGGCAAAAGCAGCAGTTGTCTCTCTAAAATTATGGACACCCTGCCAACAAAAACAAACAAGGGCACGGAGCTTTGTGAAGGCAGGCACAGCTGCTAGAAGCCACTTTGAGACCCTTTGCCCCGATGGCCACATCTTGTGAAGATAGACAGATGATGAAAGGATCATTCAGATGTGGGTTGCTGCCATCATACTAATTGGCTTCTTAATGGATTTGTCTTCTGTCTTGGGATACAGTATCCTCCAGGGGTAATATGCTGACATCAGGCTATAATGGCAGACAGGGTTGTCATAATGTGCATAGCTTAAGCATGCCCACACCCACTATTCCTCTTGTTCTCGATAGACAGTTCACCTAATGGCACTTAAACGAGTATAGTCTGCCATCCATGACCACGGTCGTCTTCTCCTTCTTGCCTATCCGCCATCTGCTTCGGAGCTGCATGCAAGAGGAACAACATGGCACCGTGTGGCAGTGTGGCAGAGCTGGTCACGGCACTGGGCGGCGCGGCATGACTTGATTTGGTGGAGGCTATCTTTTGATTGTTTGCAATGTGGCACAGACACGTGCTGGGCCCACGGGCAAAATTCGTAACTTGCGTGGACTCACATTCGCTTGTTACAGGAAATCAAAAACCTAAACACAGCTACTAGAGCACACACACACACACACACACATATGGTACATAGTTAAGAGAAAGTAGAATAACAGCACAAGCGTTAACAACAGTATGCCTCTTTGTTCCTTTAGCATGGATCGCGTTTCAATTTAACCCAACTTTATGCTGGGGCGCTCGTTTGGCTCACGTTTTGGGCTCTTCTCCATGAAATGTCATTGCAGTTTCAGTGGCTATGCAAGTCAACACACACACACACTTTCATATCCTAGTGAGGACATCTAATTGACAAAAGTCTTTCCCTAGCCGCTTACCCTAGCCTTTCAAAAATTAATGCCTTAACCATAACCCTTAGCCTAAACTTAAAATGCCTTCAAACTTGTGGGGACAGGCATTTTGTCCCCATAACTGACTGTTGTCCCCACAAGTAGTGTAGCATTCCAATTTTTGGTCCTCACAAATATATCCAAATACGGCACGCACGCACGCACGCACGCACGCACACACACACACTTGGGTTATGTCTGTCCGATAGCCAGAAAGACTACATAAAAGTATGTTTTCACTTATGTTCTGTATTCTTCATGGTTTGGGTATGTGCTGCCTTTAGCTATGGATCATGCTTTTTGTCAGATTTTAATAGTCACAGGCAAGCTGATAAAATTAACCATGACGATCTGATCAGTGTCGCATGCAGTAACTGGTAGCTGCGTGTGGATGTGTGTCTGAGTTACTCACTGATGCAGGGGGCCACGGGCGAGCGGCTCTGCTGGTACCCTTTGGCGCAGCGGTTGCAGGTGATGCCCGTGACACCGTCCTTGCAGGGGCACTGGCCTGTGGTCTGGTTGCATGTCTTGCCTGCTGCGCCCACAGGGTGGCAGTCACAAGCTGGCGTGGGGGGGTTGGGGGAAGATGTCAAAGAGGGATGGAGGGTGGTGGGGCAGATAAAAGAGATAAGAGATACCAGTTCATCAAACCTGCTGCAAAATGCAAAATGATAAGACAAAACTCCTCCGACATTCAGTAAATATTATTGATTAATGATTGATTGACTGCATTAATACTGAATGTTTGGGGGCCCACATGTCTTTAGCCTTTATACCTAGGTTTCTCAAACTACTGCATTGTGAAAAACTGCATGCATATCCAGAAAACTGATGAGAAATAAGATATTTGTGTGGAGGACATTACAGGACAACTAAAAGCACAGAAAGCTATTAGATCGGGTGAACGATGCATGTAGTGCATCAGTTTCAGCAGGAGATGCAGACCAAATGCTCGTTTCCTCTTTCCTAAATGCTGCATGCAGCCTAGTGCCTGCCTGCCTGGTAACACACGCTCTGCTGTTTCATCACTTCCCAAAAGTTCCGTGGATGCCCACCAAATGCCAACACCAACAGGCAATGCTCCGGTCACCTCACTTTGGCAAGACTTTTGAGGTTTGCTTTTCTAGGTGATTTATTTAAGCCACTTTAACTCATTAGTTTTTTTGGATGTATGAAGAGCAGTTAATCATATGAGGCCTAGAGTGTTGGTTGAAGCCATTTGACAAAAGCTTACAAGAACACAGGAAGTGTGAAAGCAAAAACACAATAAGCCATGAAACCCAGTAGGAAAACTCTGCCTTTTCCCCCTTTGTTTTCAGTCTGACACTTTGGAAAAATACTCTCAGACTAACAAAAAAAAAAAAAAAAAAAAAAAAAGGCAAAAGCAAACTTGCAAGGGCCTCAGCTGTAACACAATAGTTGTAGTTGTCCAGGCTTATCAAGAAAAGGCAAGAAGGACCAATATTTCATACAAGGGAAAAACCCTGTAATCCAGCAGACTTCTACAGAGCTTGCCAGGGAAAGGCAGCTGCTAACATGCCACGGTTTCTTCCCACCACCTGACGAAACTGTTAATGTGTTTATTTGCGCCCGCAGATTTTTTTTTTTAAAGTTGCTACAACAAAGGAGAGGACCCTACCACCTGTTGGATCGGCAACGCGAGCGTTTAAATGGCTGAAACTGACCCAAGAGTGTCTGCATGACGGCAGGGTGTGAGGAGATTAGCTCAGCTCAGATCTTTAGAATCGTGTCTGCCTTTTCTGGCAAGGCCAACGAAGTCTACAGGTGTCAAAGTGGCTGCACACTGTTTGAAGCCGAGATGTAAATCTGATGCTTCATCATGAGTGCAAAATCCCCATTATTTGAGTCACGCAGACTCCAATGGGAAACTTCAGCTTTGAAGGCACTTGGTAAAGTGCGACTGAACTAAGGACAAGAACGTTAAGCATGTGGCAGGGTGTGATGCAGGACTAATTCGGGTGCCGGGGGTCACCAGACGCCTTTTTATGCTGTGCCAGCAACCTCCACCTTCATTTAGAGCCAGAGTTTCTTCTGCTTCTGGCTAGGAACTATTTGGGATTTTCCTGAAGTTTGCATTCTCAATAAAACTCAAATGATATAGTGCATTGGTCCGTCAACTTTTACCGTTTTTCAAGTAATGAAAAACGCTTTCAGACCAAAGGAAAAGCACATGTGAGATGACCCATGTCATAATCCCAAGTTGTTCCTGCAGAGACATGTGACAAAGGCAAGGAGTTTTACAAGCTATTGTCTCTGCACTGATCACTTAACATTGACAGGGCTGGTCAGTATAAACAAACTGCGAATGATGCACAGGACCCCCTCGCTTCCCTTCTAATTGAGACTCTGACTGTTTGGAGTTCAGAGGTTACTGTCAGTGTTCACATTGTTCAGTAAATAACCAGCAACGGCCAGATCTGAACGAGCTGTCAGGGGCAGGCAGGATGGAGACGGGGGTTTGGTCGTGTCAGTCTAACCCCCAGCCTTCCTTCCTCAAACTGTTTTTCTGAGGTTTTATGTGCAGAGGCTAGAGCCAGTTAGAAAGCTGTAAAAATGTCCTCAGATGTTGATGGCTTTTCAAGCCCATGTGACTGCAGATGTGACAGGCGCTGCATTGGGATTTGCAGTCCCTTTCTCAGGCGTCTGCTTGTTTTAAGTGATTCAAGTGATTTTAAGTGACTGTGTTACTCAACTTGTGGTGACTGCACTTTGTTCACTTCAGTTTTATTTATGTAGCGCCAAATCACAAAAACAGTCACACCAAGGCATTTAATACTTAAACCCCAACCAATCAGATGATCCCCTATGAGCAAGCACTTGGCGACCGTGGGAAGGAAAAACTCCCTTTTAACTAGAAGAAACTTCCAGAACAACCAGGCTCACGGCTGGGCAGCCATCCGCTGAGAGCAGTTGGGGGTGAGGACACATGGAAGACTGCCTTTGTCTGCTGTCATGGAAAGTAGCTTTCAGATTTGCGGACTTAAAATATCCACGTTACTTCCGGAATCCTGGTTTTGTGTTTAGATTCCTTCAAATACGCCTCACACTGTGAACAGACAACTAGACCTGGACAAGTTTGATCAGTAACAGACACAACCCCTTCTAGATTCTGTACCGCCCACCAGCCTCCCTCTATTCCCGCCTCCTCCTCTGAACACACCTGTATTTTATTGCAGTAACTCCATTTCAGACATAACGACATGACACGCACCCCCTTCAACAATACCACACCCCTGACCTCTGTCGCGACCGGGTCACAGGCAGAAAGGACATGGAAAGCAAAGGGCTGGAAAGAAAATCATAGATGCTGGTATGAGAATAAGAGGAAGACAAAGGTTTAATGGGTTTGTAGAAAGGCAGAGTGAGGGAAGTCATAAGTCAGGGTGCAATCAGAGGTCCTGGTTGTAAACCATCTGGCAAGACAGAGATGAAGAAAAAGAGAGCAAAAGCAAATGACATCTCCTAGAATGCTGTGGATCAATCATGGAGCTGGCCCCCTCAGCTTTATAAATGTAAGCTTGGATTCTGTCACATCTGGAGCTTTTGGAAAGGAGGGTGTTAAACTGTTTATAACCTGATCACTTGACTTGGATCGCAGACAAACTGTAGTGTCAAGTGGCCTGCATGTGTGTGAAAACATTATGCTTCCACGTACTGCAGGAAATGAAAGATGAGAGAACCATTTGCACATGGGGATGCACATCTCAGAGCGGATCTGTTGTCAGGGGTGCAGCAGATCCCTTTCTGTTATTGTTTCAGTGCATTAACAGGTCAAATGACTTAAGTTTTAAGGTATGTGACCAAGTCGCTGTGGAGGGGTTTTTTTGTAATTTTTTTGGCCATTACACAATGAATGGCTCAACATCTCATTGAAACTACCATGGGCAACTGCGGCCTGATATCATGCCATTTCTAACCTCTCGGTGTTATATTACAGGCTGCAGAAGGAAAACTGACGAGAAGCCAGTGAGAGATTCCCACCGTGAAATTACAGCCAGGAGATCTTCATGGCTATGAGTGTTGGCAGCTTTCACTAGTGCCGTTTTTTATGTTCTGGAAGTGATTTTTTTAAACCTTCATCTGGATCATACGGCTACAAAACACTCTTATTTATTTGAGTATTTTCTCGAGCATCAAATACAGGAAACAAGTGTTATTTTTGCAATATTTCCAGCATAATATGGGGCTGAAAAATATCACTGCAAATGTGAAATAATGAAATCAATTTTCCATGAGACATGCATTGGTTACATGAAAATATTATGTGGTGTGTGGGCAAGGGGGGAAAACATTCGGTGGGGTGGCCAGAAAGACTCCAGGCATAGTATCAAATCATTTCTCTCTGCTATGGTATGGCAAATCAGACATGCTGATTTTTTTTTTTTTTTAATATATACATATATAGTAAGAGTTGCCATGACAACATATGTTTCCACTCATAAAATATTACCACTTCTCCCCTTTCTCAAACACATAGACTGGCTCAATCAGTGTTTGTTTGAACATTTTGTAAACATTTAGCACCGAGTAGCGCCAAAGAAAAAGCTAAACTACATTTAAAGTAATAATCTGGGACATTTTCATATAATCACATATATCTATAAACAAATATTTTCTACTCTATTAATGACTGACATAACGCGAAGCGATCCGTGCTCGTGACTTGTGGTTGGTAATTCTTTCCCAGGAAACCACTTGTGTGTTATATTTCTGACAGCAGATGAAGAGCGAGCTCTGATCATAATCAAGAATAAATGAATGAGTGCTACAGTTCTGCAGTATGCTTGACTGAAGCCTAATAGAAGTATAGAGGAGGAATGAGCTCATGCAGCAAATAGCACAGACTATCTTGAAAGCCACGTTGGAAAATTAGTAATAAAGTTCTTCATAAACACTACTGTTACTTCTTGTTAGATTCTCACCTTTGCAGGCTCGCCTGTGGGTGATTGGTCTGGCCATGTCCCTGTAGAAGCCCTCCTTGCAGTAGTGGCAGTGGCGTCCTGCGGTATTATGGCGGCAATTCATGCACACCCCGCCACTTTTCCTCCCTGACAACTTGTACAACTCCATGTTGAATCGACACCGGCGGGCGTGGAGGTTGCAGTTGCACGCTGCGGAGGGAAAGAGCAAAGCCGTTATGGTATCGGCAAGGGTGAGGAGGATAGATACAAAAGTTTACAATAACTTCTCAGTATTTATCTTAGGGTTCATACATAAATTTAGCAGGCTGAAATGTTCACATGGAGCACGCTCAGCAGTAAAATATATCCTTACTGGTGGGGTATGTATATCACAAGAGAGCTGGGAAAGATTTTCAAGTAAGGCAGTGTAGTAATAATAATAATAATAATAATAATAATAATAATAATAATAAGTGGTTTATAATCTATGCTGCATCTGTGGGCTTGGCTGCTATTCCAGAACTCATCAATCAAAAGTGATATTTGCAGAGCTCATTTTCCCCATTTCATAATTAATGAATTCGGCTTCTCTCAGCCCATTAGTTATTAATCACTGGAAAGAGAGACATTAATTTCATGAATCACTGATGAGTAAAGACTTCTTAGATCTATTAAAAGCGAGACCAAATCAGATATAGGAATGGGCTCGAGCTAGCTGTCTTCTAAATGAGGCGAGCAGGATATATGGGACATGTGAGGGGTGGTTATAGCTCTCCCAGTTACCCTTGAAATCCAGCTGGTTCCTTAATGTCTCTTTTGCTCACAAGTCTTTTCCGTTGATTCCTCAGCATAAAACTGCGTTCACCAACTCTGACATTATTGATAAACTCTTTTCATTATCTAAATGTGGGGGTTTTGCATTTGAGAAGTCTAATGAGAAACCCACACTTCTTGCTTGTGTAAGACTTTGATCCAGAACCTCTGCTGGTTAAATCAAAGTCAGACCTGGAACCTGAAGACTTGGCCGTGGCTTCAAAGTCAACTGTCGCTGAGCTTAGCTTTAGCTCAAAGTTATCTGCAGATGCATTTGAAAAGCGGTAAACAACAGCAGAGCTGTTTGAGTGAAAATGTCAACAGTTGTGGCAAAGCAGAAGTATTAGAGGATCACAACAGAAAGTGATATTCATTAACTTTAGTCAAACTGGAGAGGCGTCAAGGAAATAGATTTCACTACACAATAAATGTTTAGAATAAAACAAGAAGGATGTAGCAACAGAGACTAAGTTAAAACACACTGGGTGAGGGTAAGGCGCAGAGGGGTCAGTTACAGAAACATGTGAAATGTATATTTTCTGTCTTACCCACTCACTCCGTGTATACATGATCATATTTGCAGGGCTACAAGTTTGACACCATCCTCATGCCAGATGGATAAACATGAAGCTAGCGAGAACAGCCTCTTACGAGGGCCAAACACCTAGCCTGGCTCTGACCGGCGGCAACTAAATCTGCCAGCCCTCACTAATTAACACATTATATCTTGTTTGTTTGTAGAGCTATTTCTTGCCCAGGTGCAGTCACTTCATGAGGACACGTCACCACTCTGAAGTTGCTAGGCAAAAAGCCGAGCTACTAAGGTACTACGGCTGTGTATGAATTAAAGAGCATAAAAATGGTACATAACACACCTGCAACACCTGTAACCACAACATGGTACCTTTACACCTTTGTGTTGAGTAAGTAAATAAAAGTTTGTAAGAGCTTTTCACAGACAGTATGTACAAATACATTGTACACAGACACAAAACAGTAAAATAAATAAGAAAATTAAGTAATTAAGTGCCATAATGGGCAATGAAAACAGGTAGTTTATAATCATCATCATCATCATCATCATCATCACCACTACTACTGAATAAAATTTTGTCCAACGTCACTTTTATGTTCTATGTATTAAACCCCCGCTTTTATAAGTTTTTAGTGTTTATATAAAGACCAATTAATAATTAATCATCTTTTAAATGACTCTGTCACTCCTTTAAAACAACAATGCTGTTCCAAAGATTTGGGAAATATCAGTTTTTTTTATTTTCAATTATATAAATCTTTTCAGTAATTAAGTTTACTACTGACAAAATAAGAAACCAGTTGTAGAACACAGAACTTTTAAACTTATTTTGTTACAAGTTCGTAGAAAATGAGATCTCAGTACCCATTTCATTACAAATATGTAAAGGTGGACTATAAGTGATTTAGAAAAATAGAGATTTACTCAAACTGTGTTCAGAAACTACCTTAAAAACGACTTATAAGGGCCTTCCATAACGTCATGTCACAACTACACAGTCCTCATCTTCAACAAAGCCCCCCCCCACTCCATGACCCTTTACTTCTTTATTTTTTGGTTTGAGCCTGTAGCTCTGTAAAGCTCTTAGCTATACATCTGAAAAAATACTACAATCAAACTAATGTTTAGTGTTGGATGAATGCAGTACACTTTACCCACTCTTGCCTGATCGGAAAACACTGTTAGCATGTTGCACAGCTAATCTGGCAACTATTTGCACGACCTGAGTATATACGCCTACTCACCAGCGTTGTGTTAGAATACAAAAGGCCAGCAAAAAATGCCTTTAATACTGAGCCTGCTACAAGTGGGTATTTTCATGTCTCTTCATGTCCTGTAGTGCGGGCTAAACTCAGTTAGCCCGATTGTACATAAGTGGAAAATAAATAGCCATAATGCAAGTGATTTCAGAAATGGTAACTCTATTATGTGAAAATTTAGTGCAGCATTTCATTCTGTAAGACTCTTTCCTTGCTCTGGGTCCAGTTCTGGTTCAGACGTGTGGCTGAATTCTGGAGTTTTGTTACAAGACAGTGGGTAAGTCTATACTTACAGGATCTGGGCTTATGGCGGGTAACCAAAGTTCTTTTGCTTTACTTTTCCTGTTCTGAGATATCTATTGCAATGGCAGGAGAAGGCACAGCGCTGTTCCAGATAAGCTGCCACTGCCAAGGCCCCTATTTTATTTAAGGGAAACTTTATAAAACACAGCAAAGACCGTGTTTGTACAACCACTGCAGGATGAGAAATCCGTTTTGTATTTTAAGCTGACACTTGACATGCACATTCTTGAGAGATATGAGACTTAGATGAACTTATAATGATAATGGTATAATGTGTGACCTTTAAGACATATTTCCCAATAATTTACAGATGATTTTCATTTCTCTGCTCCAGCCAAGGTCAGTTCTCCAGTTCTATTAAGTTCAATGATCTGAGCCTTTTGCAATCACTTAAAGGACAACTTCACTGGAGGAGAATCCCTCAAGCGCAAATGTTAAGCAATAAGTACCCCACATATGGTGAGCAATACATATCGCTGTCCACACTCAAAGGAAAGCCTGGCACCTGGTTGGGAAAGAGGCCAAGTCTCCCCCCGACTCACCCTCTTGCGGGCCCTGGAAGAAAAAGGGGAGCACATTCCCAGACTGTTTCCCAATTCCATCTGGTTATTATGTTGCCCAATTTGTATGGAATCCTCGAGCTAATGAAAATACTGTTTTATGTATAAATTCATATCAAGGCAGCGCTGTTTGTGTAGAGACCCTGCTGGATTTATTTGCTGTGCTTTCATACTCTGGAGAGTCCAAGATCAGAATTAATTCTCAACCCTGGAGAATTATCCAAAATGGAATATGAAGGCAGTGTTAGGGGAGCGGGGCAATTTAATCCTGAACAAAGTTTGAAAAATGAGTTCAAAGCCTTTTAACCCTTAGTCTGCTCTTAGATGGCGAGATGGTTGGTCCCAGGTTTGAGTGGGAAAAACAATATACATCGACTGGTGAGAGACTCCCTGCATGTGTGTGTGTGTGCATGTGAAGATCTAAACAGCCTGTCCAACTTCTTCTAAGGGAAATGTGACAAAGAACACACACGTCACACTGAGTGGCTGGGGCTGCAGGGGTGGAAAGCGGGTGGGGGCATGGAGGTAGGGGTCTGTGATTGTGATCAAGCATCTCAGACACACACACAGCTGTGAGCACTTGTGACCATTAACACCTTGTAGCAGAACATGAAAGCGATGGATCGCGTTTTCTGCCCAGCTGAAGTACCAGCGGACCTCTTATGGCATCCTCTAGATTTACAGCTGTGCAATAAGATCGGCCAACAAAGACCGGACTGAGCTTGGACACGCTTAAGTGTGGAGAATGTAAAAGAAAGCTCCAGAATTTAACCTTTAAATGATTTAGCACGTGTAGCTGCAAAGGATTTAACGACATCCAGACATTTTGTCACAGGAAGAAAGAATTGGAAAAAGTTTAGTATCTGACAGTAAAAGAACGATGCAAATGGGGATGGATGCAGAAAAAAAAAGTGCAGGAGAAAAATGAACAAATCCCAGAAAATCAGCACTAAAAAAAAATTAAAAGCAAGTAGGTGTTTCTATGCTACCTGCATGTGTTTTTTTTCCTGCACTTCACACCCTGCGTGCTGTTAACTCAGAGCTACAGCTGCCCCAAAGATCCTGGAATGTTTATGGGTTTGTTTTGAAGTGCCTACGCGCGCGCGCGCGCGCACACACACACACACACACACACACACACACACACACACACACACACACCCCTCCCACCAAAATGCCACCCCCTACCATCACCACCACTGCACACCCTCTCAACCAAATTAGGCTCAGCGGGGATAACTGAACTCTGTTGAAGACCATTTTTCAATTCATTAACACATCAAAGCTTCCGTAGTAGTGCTGTGCATAAAGACTCATTTTTATCTAAAGGAGGAAGGGGGGGGGGGGGGGGGAGTCATTTCAGTATGGGGGAGGACTTCTGTGGGTGGCAGCAAAGTCAGCAAAGAGTCTGTGATTGCCCCCCAAAGTGAACGATTTTCCTCCGTGGGTCAGTGTCCAATTCGAAGGATGCGTAAAGCTGGTTTCTCGTGTTGTCGTGGAAATCAAATAACAAACACAGGCTACAGGCTTGGCAAACGGAGGGATGCGGAGACCAAAATAAAGGGAGGGAGGGAGGAGGAGAACCCTTTGGAAAATTTTAGAGCAATGAATTGTTTCACCACACTGTCATCAAACCGAACGGTGCCAAGTGCAAAACTTTCATCTGCGGTTCTTGTTTCGACCCGGTACCTTCCCCCTACACAGTTCGTCATCTTAGGTGATCTGTGTTTTTCAAAACAA